GCTGCCTGTGGTCTGATTTATACCTGTCTTGGATAGTGGGTTTCCTCTGCTCTTTTCTTCGCCTGTTCAAAGTCTTACTTATTCGTCAAGGCTCAGCTTAGTTCAAAGGACACTTCTCTGTGAAGTTTTTCCGTAATAACTAAATACCTAAGCCGTAGACCATTTTTAGATTCTAGATCTTCCATTTATTTATTTTGATCTTAAGACTGTGAACTGAAGCGCTTTGAGGATCTTTTTCACTCACTGGCAAAATGGAAATAACAGTTGTCCTACAGAATAGTGGTAAAGATTCAAATCTAGTACATAAAAGTGCAAAGTATCTAGTGGATAATAGCTATTCAAGAATCCCAAATGATCATTTCTATCCTGCTCAGAACTTCTTTGGCATCTTTATTTTATCAGTTCTTTCACGTCTTATCCCATTTCCCTTGTGTTACTTGTCTTCTCCTTGTACTGGATTTTGGATCACGCACATATTTTTTTTCTTAAGCGTGTGTGTGTGTGTATGAGAATTCTGAATAGGGCTGAGCACATTTATTCATGGCAGTGAGCCAATAAATGTGTTTCTCATCAGAGAAGTTCTATGGTTCTCATTAGAAAAGTAGGTGGTGAAAAGATTTAAGCTAATGTGTTCAGTACAAGAAACACAGAGAAACTCTTTTTTAACACGAAAGAATCCTGTATAAGCAAACACAAAACATATTTAGTAGACATGGAAGTACAACATGAAATGTACCAAGTTTCACAAATACAAAGGATTATTATTACAAAGCAGAATAAAATTGAAGTTAAAATTTTGTGTCCTCCAGTTATCATTAAGAGAGTCCAGTTCACAACTGCTCTTTTTCTTATTGTTTTCCTTCCCAGAAAGTGAGGCAGAATGATTCCCTGTTGAGAGAAATTAAACTTGTTGGTCATTTCCCACCAAAAAATTGCTTGATAGAGCCAAATACCATTCTGTATCTGCTAAATACTGAAGGAAAGACCCATTGGCATTTGGTTTAAGCAACTAGAGAGAGGCTTCGGCATGTGACCAATTATTCATGTATACTGGGGAAAAAGTTGACAAAAGATTCAAAAATTAAAGGCCCACAGCAAAATAAGTGGTCTTTAACATATTTCATGTATTTCAGATTCACAGAGTTTTTTCCCATCACACATGAAACTGACAAATATACCAAACCCTTTTATTGTATGTAGCGTTCATCTTTGTATAGATCTTTTCAGGAAGGCTTTATAGCTTTGAAGTTGCTGTTCCTTATGTGTTTCTAAGAAACTATAAAGTTACCGAGTTAGTACATGGAATTAAAAACTGGGGCTGAAATAAAGAATAAAGACAACTAAAAATATTTCATGCCCTCATTTTTTTGAAAGCTTAAAGCAATTTTTTTTTTAAGAGTTCATGTTATGGCCCTAGTTGAAAATACTTCTATCATTGCCATTTTATTCTGTAGAGCGTTAAACTAACATGGAATCTAGGTTGCTTCTGATTAGATAAAGCCTTTTCAGGTTTAAAGATCTCCTGCCTACTCTAGGGTCTTCCATAGTTAAACAAAATGCAAGAATGTCACACGTGTTTATATAATTTATTAAATTAGAATTGATTCTGATAACTAGCCATTACATATAGGGCAAAATGCATCTGCAGAATGCTCAGTCCTTTGCACACACGCACTGGCATTCCTTCCATAACAACAAGGATATATTAAACACCTACTATGTGAGGCTTGGTACGAGTTGCTTTACAGATTACACCTATTGGCCAGAGTGCAATCCCCCTACCCTCTTTGCCACTCACCAGCTACAGACACAACTAGAAAAGAAATTCTGGAACCAGTCATCTTGGGAAAAGGTATGGCCAGCTAAATCTACCACCCTGTTTTTCTTGGCTATGTCCCAAGATAAAAAACTCTCTGCTCATCTGCACTTTTAGGTACTCTGTCACCCTAACCATCCATCCATCCATCCATTCATCTATCCACCCATTCATCTATCCATCCATGCATCCATTTATTCAAAACTATTCAAAAGTATGCACTGACTTACTGTGAGTTAGGTACTTCCCTAAGGGATGCAAAAAGATGTGGTTTCAAATCCCACAGAAGTTTAGTAGAAGAGATGGTACTCAAGTAGTTACCTAAATAAATACCGAAGTAGTTATGTACTAACATAAGAAATACGGTAGAAAGGTATCATATACTATGAGACAGAATAACAGTGAGGTCTAATTTACTTTGGGGACTAAAAAAAAAAAGAACTTTAAGAAAATAGCATTTAAACTGGGTATCTAAGAATGACTAGGAGTTATTCAAATAAGAAATGGAAGGAGAGGGTAGAGTATTCTGGGAAGCAGCTCTAAAGCGGAATGTGTCTAAGCGTTAGAGTAACTGAAAGAGGACTAGTGAGGCAATAGTATGGCAAGTAGAGGAAGGAACAGAGGAACTAGAGCCAGATTATGGAGGACTCAATATGCCTTTCAGAGGTTTTAGGTCTTTTCTTAAAACTACTAGAAAGTATTCACACTACCGATTATTTTACATCACATAATCTTTATAATACTTATAAATCACACATATTTATAATACTAATAATTTAAAGCAGAGGACTGACATGATCAGATTTACCTTTTGGAAAAAATCACTCTGGCTGATGGTGAGGAGAAGACATACATAGAGGGTCCAGAGAAGATATGGGATATTAGACAAGAGCTAATGATGGTCCCTTGGACAATAGGAGCTATTTGTCATTTAAAATAAAGAAGATAACGACTGTTGTAGCCACCTCCAAGATGTTTCTCAATGAACCTCACCTTCTGGTATTCATGCTCTTGTATAAGCTACTTCCATAGTAAATCAGATTGACCGGTGTGACCAACAGAATGTTACAAAAGTGACAATGCATGACTACCAAGGTTAGATCATAAAAGGCATTGCAACTTCTGCTTTGGTGTCTTAAATCACTTACTCTGGGGAAAGCCAGCAGCCATGTCCTGAGTACACTCAACAGCCCTTTGAAGAGGTTCAGGTGGAGAAGAATTAGGGCTTCACATCAGCAATCAGGAGCCGACCTCAAAGTGGGTGCTTCTGTCAAGCCTTCAGGTCAGTGCAGCCTTGGCCGAAATCTGACTATACTCTTAAGAGAGACTCTAAGCCAGAAGTGCCCAGCAAGTCATATCTGAATTCTTGAACCATAGAAACTGTGAGAGATAACGAATGGTTATTGTTTTAAATTACTAATTTGTTGCACAGCAATAGGCACTTAATATGGTGATACTGAATACTGTAACTGACAAAGAGGGAGATATCAAGGATAATTCCTAGATTTCTGGCTTTCAGAGCTGATTTGATATGCTTTTACAAACAATATAGGCAGTGACCTAGTTTTTTGAGGGTAGAACAAATCAGTTTTATTTCTGATGGATTTGGGGTGCCTTTGGGACATCTAGTGATTACAAATATCAGGATTCTTAGTTGCAAGCAAAGTAAACAAGCTTTGTCTGATTTATACAGAAAATAATTCACTGGGAAAAAAATCTTTGGAAGAAAATATGAGAAAAAAATCTACACAGACTTGTAGTAGACAATTATTGTTTAAACAGGACACAAAAAGCACTGGACATACAGAATAACCTGGAAATTCTCCTCTTCAGAATGTTTCTTTATATTCATTAAGAGAATGGATAGATAGAAGCAACCGAAGAGTGAGAGATTTTATATACATATATAGATATAGATATCCAGAAAACTTAAAAAATCTGCAAATATTTGCAGTGCATATGTTAACAAAGCAGTATATCCAGAATATACAAGAACACCTACAAATTAATGAAAAAAGTCAAAGATCTCAAGAGAGAAATGGTCACAGGCTTGAATAAGCAGTTCAGAGAAGAAGGTTTCCAAATAAAAAATATATACACGATCATTTCTTGGCCTCTTGTCTAAGATCAAGTGTAGTATCTGTTCTTATCAGTTTAATATCTGATATGTCATCTATCCAAGGACAATATATTAAGTGGATTTGGAGCAGGGAGTTGGAATAGGAGCTTTCTCCATCCACTCCACGCATTGACCTGGTATCGCAGTACCTCCAGGAAAAGTGTACCAAAATAACATTAATAATAATTATTATTATTATATTTATGGGAAAATGTCCCGTTTCATTGCCGCTAGGAATTGAATGCTTATGTTCCACCCCCAATTCATCTGTTGAAACCCGAATCCTCAATGTGATAGTATTTGGAGATAAGGCCTTTGGGAAGTGATTGGGTCTTTAGGGTGGAGCCCTCAGGATGGGATTAGTGCCCTTATGAGAAGAGACAAGAGAGAGCTTGCTTCCTCTCTCCCAGCCATGTGTGAACACAGGGAGAAGGTGGCTGTCTATAAGCCAGGAAGTGGGCCCTCCTCAAACCCTAGATCTGCAAAGCCTTGATCTTAGACTTAGCCTCCAGAACTATGAGAAATAAATGTTTGTCATTTAAACCACTTTGTTTATGGTATTTTTGTTATAGGAGCCTGAACTAAGACAACTGTTTATCAAGGGAATTCAAATTAAAACTAGTTCAACACTACCACCTAGTCACCAAAGTGGCTAAAATGGAAATGCCAGAAAACATTTTTGGAGTTGAGGAGAATATACAGAAACTGGGCTTCTTAGACACTCTAGTAGAAAAGTAAACTGTTACAATCACTTCAGAGAATTGTTTGAAAATATCTAATAAAACTGGACATTCACAAACCCTAGGAGCCAGCAATTCCACTCTTAAGTATGTATCCAATTGAATTGCATACACACTTTTACCAAAAGACAAATACAGAAATGTTCTGAACAACATGAAAAATAATAGCAGAGATAGCCCCTATTTGGCAATTACTCCCACGTATATAGGAAAATGGATTAATGAATTGTGTATTTTCACCTATAGGTAACTATAAACCAGTAAGAATGAATAGGTCTATAGCTATATGCAAAAATGTGGATGAATCCCAACAACATAATGTTAAGTGAAAGAAGCCAGACACAAAGAACTGTATGAAACTATTCATACAAAGTTCAGAATCTACAGTTTTAGAAGTCAGAGTTATGGCTTCCTTTGTAAGAGAGGCTGTAAGAGGAAGTAGGCGTAAAGGAGGCTGCTGGAGGTGCCAATTACACATTTGTTGTTTGTAGTTCGCAATCATTCTTTAAGCCTATGCACTAAGGATTTGTTCACTTTTCTGTATCAATGTTATATTTCAGTAAAGAGTTTAAAACAAGTAAAAAAAAATGTTATCTAGTGGCTCACAGAACCACCACTCTGGTGCAGAGCCAGGTCCATGAATACAGACTCAGGAACAATGGCCAAAATTATGCCATAGAACTGGTCCGATGAGAACCCAGCTGTGGACACCGTAGCTTGCAACCCTGACCCTGTGAGTTCTGAACACTGAATCCTGTCACCAACTCCACCACAGCTGCTGAATCATTTCTCCCTTGACACCACAGCCAGAGGAAATGTCTCACAAATTTCATTTCATTATGTCACCAGTTCTCCATTCAATGTCTGTGGCAGGCACATCTGATAGATGGATCCTATGTCATGTCCCTGGGCTCCCACTACAAGGATAGATGGGAAAGCAAGGATTTGGAATTTTAAGCTTCTATAGTGCGACAAGGGCTCTCTCTCCCTCTTAATTTCCTCAAACAAGAAAAGAGGGTTCACATGCTAGGAGGTTAAAAACAAGGTGAGATTTTTTACCACGATTTGTCACAGAGTAGCAGGGATTTGTCAGGATATGAGTCTGTAACTCACAGGAAAAATCTGGGCTGGAGATATAAATTTGGAATTACTAACATGTAAATGTCTCTTGACCCCGAGGGTATGGATAACATCATCAAGACTATAGAAAGAA